GTTATAAGCTGCTAATGGGGAAAAAGGAACTTGAGAATTACAACTTTGTTATTACTAGTTACTAATTTTTTAAGTTGTTTAAATTGTTGCAAATAAGACATTGGCGCGTTTGTATTGTTATAAAGTTTATTTAACAAATACGATTATTGATTATTGCGGTTCAAGCAGTGTTTTCTAGTTAATATAATAGGAAAAAATGTTTCTTTGGGGAATTAAAAAAAAAAAAACGTTGATAATTCATCAAGCCGATTGGTGGTATTTTTAAAAGTGTCACGTTGGTCATTTGCATATGGCTACAAATCGATTGGCGTTGTAGAGAGCCGTGGGTCATGTTTTACAAATTTGGCGTGCGACCGGTCTCGCCTCGGGGTGCTTGTACTCTAAGTACTCGCGTTTTTGTATTGCTCGTTTTGTTTTGCCCAGAAACGATTTTCGTGAATACATTAAATCCCGTAAAATTTAATCAGACTCGGTAAAAGAAAGTAAAATAAAAAAAAAAAAGACTAACATAACCTTATGACGTTTTAAATATTATATTAGATGGAGAAATGATTATTAACGAGGCTCGATGAAACGCATTAGCGATTTGCAACATACTAATATTGAACGTAATATTTTAACATCTTATTCAGCCGATTGAATACATTTTGCATATACCAATAACGCTTATCGTTTGGATCTATCTAACCTGTAGAGATATAGGAAATCAGACAACGACTGGAAACGGAACTCTCAGGCCGGCTCTTAATATTATTCAGCATAATATGAAAATCTGAACGTTAAAAACCACTCTGACATCAAATCTAAATTATTATTTTAACATTTTTTTTCTTAAGCCTACACACGGTACATCACGTTGAAAATAGTTTGAAAAACTGTATTTTTACAAATTAAAAGCTAACAATCTGCAGTTAGATTCGGACACAAAGAAAATATTATATTATTTAAAACGGATGCGTTTTGGTCCTTTTGTTTCAAAATCATATTGTACTGTGTTATTTACGAATACTTAGGACTACTAAATATGATACTTTAGTACAATAGTGTTTAACAAGTTTCAAGTATCAATGAATAATGAATACAGTCGAACCGTTTATTTCCAAACGAATGTTAATGTTTTGATACATGTATCAAGATTCATGTATAAAAGTTGTTATGACATTGATACTTATATACAGTATCTTGTAACTGTAAACAAAAAGTTTCAATAGTATTTTTCGATATATAATATAAGTACTATAAAATATGAATGTGTTGAAGCTTTCATGGATTGTATTATCATGCGGATGAGTTTCAGATGTATCCATGTCCATAGTTTTAAGCCAACACTATGATTGATATTTTATTTGCAACGAAGGCAACGATTTTTTTTGTGTCTCGTAAAACTCAATCAATTTTTACAATTTTTTATTAAAAATTTTAGGAAACCGAGTTTTTTTTTTGTAAAATAATTCCCTAAAATGTTGTTTTAAAGAAAGCAATATAACTTAGCAAGTATTTTTTTTAGTTAATTAATCAAAAAGTTATACAATAAAAACTCAAGTAATTCAACGTTTTTTTGAATAAACAACAACTCAGCTTTTTATTGAATTTTACTGTATAAATTAACAATCTTGTATCCAAACTTTAAACTATTAAATAGTAATTGTTTTGTTTATTTGTATCTTATTTATCTATAACCATTGGGTGATTAATGTATGATATAATATGTTCTGCCTATTCTCAAAAGTCGTACACCGAAGGTAATATATTAGGTCAAAACTCTTAATTTGAAAAACTTTAACATCTTGTATAAATAAATACCTTGAAATTAAAAAAAATTTTTACAAAACTTATTTTTTAAGTCTTATACTTTTTCAAAAAATTTAATATTTTTTATTAACTTTTATTGTTTATTATAACTTTAAAAATTTTTGTGGGGAATTCTTTGGATATAACACTGTAAATTAAAAAACCAAAAAATTTCTTAAGAATAGGAGTACATTTTTTTATTGTGTATTGTAAATGTATTATTTTAGCGATGTTTTTGGATTAAAATTCTAAATTTATACTCGAGGAATGGTTTATTTTCATACATTATCGACACATTGTATTTAAAACACGTTCGGATTACGCATTATAACTTGTGTAACTTATAATATGTATTATTAATATTAAGCCCATTTACCAAATTGTATCATAAAATTAAAATAAATGTATTATTTAGTTTTAACGAACAGCCCAATTGATGGATTTTTTTAAAGTACGACATTTTAACAATGAAATGAATAAAAAAAATGTAATAACAAGATTGTGTAATGCGTGGCACACTTAAAGTACGCCCTCATTATTAAATTGAATAATAGTTCAACTGAATTGATGGCATATATTTTAGCTACTATGTACCTAGTAGGCAGTTATCATTATGGTTTTATGCAATGCACGGTATACCTTCCAAAACGGATTATGAAACGGCACGGGACATACCTGCAATAACATTTCTACAATCATAAGTATAAATAATACTTAAAGATTATCTGTGGCCAATTACATTAAGTGAGTCGGCACTTCAGAAAAAAACTACTTGTGATGTCATAGCAGTTCTTCATTGTCAAAAGAAAAATATGTAAAATAATCTTATAACGATTTTGAACGAATTAGGATAAGTAAAATTGTCTAAAAGAGATAAAAAACATCCTTTAAATTTTTTTAAACATAATATGCATTAGCGTTTTCAATGGCGAAACCGTGTCAAGACAAATTTTATTGTTAACATTTTTTTTTCTAGACTTTATTAAACAAATTTAAATTTGTGTTTTACTATTATGAAAGTACAAAAGTTTATAAATAACTAATTACTTACCTGTGTTTTGTAATACAATCTTATGCATTTAGTTTTATTGAATCTTCACAGCATTTTTGGTCCAGTTTAAGACATAGGTTCTCCTTCGCTCTCTTTTTCTCTCTTACATTATTTTCTCTGTTCAATTCAAAATATAATCTCATATCAACGTGTCCTCTTTTATCAATAAAGTATTCCTTATCGGTTGATTTTTCTATATTGTTGGGCCATTCTTTATCAGCTAATTGTATCCTTTATCAATGCAACGTCAATCAATATCAACGTTTCTATTACAAATTATCATCCGTTAATAGTTATAAGTTGGAGTTCTATCTTCTCTTAACTCATCGTCTTTTATTTTTTCCGATTATTATTCTATCGGTAATTTATAAACAACTAAAAATTAAAATTATGTGAATTCATATCAATGTTAATACTCACCATATAGAAACTGTTAATTATGTGTTGTTGTGTCTTCATTTTAATACCTCTACATATAGTTTAATTATAGCTACACCTAACTTGTGTTGCACAACACGTTGCCGGGTACTTAAACGACCATTGTGCTCTTACTGCGGGCAAGTGGTTTACCCGTTAATTAAGACTGTCGGTATATTGTGATAATATTCAAATTGCACAATAGCGCACTATACATATTCGAAATGCGCACAATCTTGATGACGATTTACAGTGCGATGCGAATCGAACAATAAGCCATTAGGTGTTATGTTATTAGGTACCAAGGTACGACACACGACCTATGGTAACCAATAATTATTAAAGCGTTGGCGGATAGGCATTGTTAATAATTATTATTATTATTGGTGTACATTGGTTTTCTGCGTGAGATGTAACCGTCGGTGTATCCGTAAAAACACGACCAAAATTTGTCATGTCCTACTTTTCGACTTTCGTTTTTCAAAACGATATGTCCAAAATAGTGATGGTACTATTTTAGCGTCTTAAAAAAACACAAAAACAAAACGAAACGCGCTCGTGGCCAGTATTTCGGCGACCTGATCAGATAATAACTATGACGATGCATAATAATATATATATATAGAATACAATAATTATTTTCGTATTCGTAACACATACTTACCTGATATGTCGACGGAATGTACCAGAGTTTTGGTCTACCGAATATACGGAACTGCGTTTTCTAGATGGCACGACTGATAACAGAGCGACTTATGGTCTTATCTTAAATGTACCAAGCAATGTGTTTTAATTCCACTCCGCTCGTGTCTGATATCGAGTACGGGCCGCCAGCACTTGAAAGAGTAGAAATTGTCCTATATCATATTAAATGGTGCCGACGTGCCATAGTGCGATTTAGCTGAAAATTAAAAACAGACGAAGCAATTGCTTTGACGATTGTGTGCTTACAATTTCCATAAAACAGACACTAAAGTGTAAAATCAAATAACAATAAACCTGCACATTTTAATTGCACGAAGTAAAATAATTGAGTAAACTATGGTCAAGGTGATCATTACATTTCCAACAGATTAAATCACTGGCAAAAACTTGGATGCGATCGAATAGAGAGTTAAAAGTGATTCAGTGAAATCAGTATATTACCAATAACAACTATCAACCATCAACAACCATATAAAACAATTTTTATTCATTAAATTAATTTTTATTACAATCAAATTATTAAATAAAATAAAGGGGCGTGAAATACGGCTGAGTACTGCATGCAGATAAAAGATATATCTACATTTTAGGTATTGTTATTTTATTTTCAAATATGAACCAGAATGTTTTTTTTCGTGCAATTATCCTTAGCATGCTAGTAATTGTAATAATAATGTTATTTTCCAACAAGGACAATGAACCTTAATTTATATGTCCATATTAGATTTTAAAACAAAAAATATTTGATAAAAATACGATTTATCTATTATAGAGTTGTATAAATAGAAGGTTACATTTTGTAGTATATTTACATTGAAGCGCACTGTTAGTCGATGTGAATTAGGTTAAAACTTTTATTTGTGTAATATTTTCTTTTTAAATCAATAGTATTGTAATTTTTATTTATATTTTAAATTAGACCAGGTACAATTTGTTTTTTAACGCTGACTACTAGTTTACAATCTATCAATTTTACAAACAAATATATACCTAAACACAGTTTTAATTATAAAATTATGTTTTATTTTATATTCAGTATGTTAATAGCATTTACTTTTGGAGACCTGAATATTAAACCAGTCTTCCGACCTAATCTTCCATCGGTATGTACCATTTTGTTAACTAACATATTATGTTCTTGTTCTTATTGGCTTCAAAATTTGTTCTATAGCAGAAGTCAATAATAATACAATTTTTGTACCTATTTAAAACAATATGTTAGTTATCAAAATATATAAATTTATATTAGTAATTTCTGTATTTTATACATGAACACGTTGTGTATTAATTTAGGGCCAGTACAAACTTATCTTTAGAGCAGTATATAAGTGCAGTACTACCAATCTTAATGAGACAATTCAACTTAACTTACATATTACCAAGACTTCGGAGCACGATACATCGTACGTGGGAAATATAACGTTATTAGAACCGCTCACCGACGAATTTGATGTGAGTATCCAACAAAGTTAAATTACTATTTATACATTATTATGGCCTACAGGATTAATAGGGTGCGATTTATTCGATGGTTTGTTACATATTATAGATTAACGTTAATATGGCTGTAATGGACAAAATTGGAGGATGGAAAGATAATGCTTACGTTTATACTTCAAAGAAGGGATGCACTTCTATTAAGGGATTTTACGGCGTAACATTTAGCACTTTCTTAGGTCTCGAACATGTAGAGTGTCCTGTTGGAAAGGTACGTTATCATCACTGATCGGTAAAATAATATTATATAATCAACAAAATATATGCATGTCAGTTTACTTATTTGCATTCTTAGTATTTACTGAGATAAACATTTTTTTAAACAATATTTTAATGTTTAGAAAAATTAATGATTGAATTTTAATATATTTTCTAGGGTATTTACAATGTTTTGTATGATACAAAGAATTATGAAAAAGGAAATTTTCCGAAAATATTTTTTTATGGAAAGTATAAATTAAAGTTATATTTTACTAACAAACATAATAAAATAAATGGTTGTTGTATTGCTGTAGTCGATATTGTAAGACCTTGGGAAATCTAAGGTATTAATAAATTGTTAAAAGAAATACTTAATACTAAACTACTAAAATATCATATTCATATGCTTAGCACTATTTCATTTATATACTAATATACCTTTATAAATATATCATGTTATTATTATGGTTTTTGCCTAAGACAAATTTTAAGTTTTTGAACAATTTTAAAATTATGTTTGACAGACTTTTTGATTATTGAAAAATGATTGCACTTTTAAAATAAATAATAATTTTATTTCTTGAAACAAAAAAACAGTATGAGACTTATTGTAAAAAACATGAATTCTTTAACTTATAATTAATCTTAACTTTTAGTTGAAATTTGTTTATCTTTTAAGATAAATTTGAAAGCTTTTCCGTTTAGAACAACATCGAGCTAATTGATTTCAAGATCTATCCGAACAACATGCGGATATTCTTCAACGTGGTAGCTTTGTTTTCGAGTAGGATACACAGTATAGACACAGAAAAAAGGTTTCTTAAATTAAAATAATTCCAGAGAACTTAATACGTTAGGGAGGCAATAGGAATTTAAAAAATATTAATAAGAATAATTTTGTTTAATTGTGTTCTTAAGTCTATTAAAAAAAGTATTACTTAAATATATAAAGCACCTAGTTTATTTTGAAAATTATTTTTTATTCTGGCTATTCGGCAATATCCCAGTTAAGCTAATTTTCATTTAAGTTCAATTAAGTATCAATTAGCTTCAAGATGCTCTTGATTTATTTTGACATTGTTTAAGGTGTTTAAAACAAATTGTTGTACCAACAAAAAGTTGTTTAAATGATCTTTTAGATAATTGCAAATGCTCATAAATTAAGCTGTACGGTCAAAGGAAAACCTGACGTTCACTGTCAATTGAATAAAAGGTTAACTAATTTTTAAAACCCGAAAAAGGCACTCCGCCGTTGCCGGTAGACCTCCAAGCTGTAAGTATATCATAATGTACTTTCTATATGTGATTTTATCATCGGACTGCCGGGTTCTTTGTCATAAAAATTTGTGTTTTTATTGATCGACTGCAACTATATTATCATTATGATATATGTCTGATCCGAAATTACAATAATAACAATACCATCTCGGCTGTTAAACACCGAATTCGAATGGGTAAAAATACCTGAGCGCTTTCATTCGATTGTACCTAAACGTTTGAAATAATAATAAAATATTATTCTGATCCGGTTAGAGTATTTCCTAAGCGGGTACATACAACTGTCCTCCTGTCGGTCGTTATATAAAGATATAATAATAAAATATATTATATTATCTAGGGTGGCGTATTATTATTGTTGTTAGATATATATACATATATATCTAAATCCTAGAGGCTGCCAATAGTGGAAATTAAAATTCCTCGTACACATCTAACCATCGATCGTTCGATTCTGTAACACGGAATAAACGTAACGTGACGAAACGTTCGCTCTGTATGCGGTCTGTCGCATAGACATATGACAATTGCAGCCGCTGTATAGTGCCTATCCATTATTGTCTACTTGCACACAGGTGGCACAATGAGAGTAGTAATAATATGATATTATGACCGTAAGACGATTGTCAGAATCGGAACGGAAGAAAATATGTATAATAATAATATGTATACGCATACACTACTGTGCACTGTATATAAATATAGGTATACATTTTTTATTTGTCTTTCGCTTTCCAATTTCCCTCTCGAGATGAGCCGCCGTAAAAAAAAACCATGTACATATACATATGTTTTGATGGCCAACGTCCTTGGTCGTTATACAGTATTTTATACGATATAAAAAAAAAAAAACAATATTTATACATTAAAATATAATATTATACCGACTCGTGTTATGTATTACTGTTTGTATAAATGCTACATTCGGCCGTCGGTTTCGCGATAAAAATCCAAATATCTCACCGGTCGTCGCCTTGTCTGTGTATTGCACGGTCTAATGCAAGCTGATTTTTTTTTTTTTTTACAAGGCTATAGCACACATTAAAAAAATATACACTCCAAAAATACTCCTACGCTTACGCCGGAAATTACCGTTACCTATATTCGACGTCGGTCCATCGAGTGTATCGAAAAAACAAACTCCCCGACGGCAAGCAAGTACTTCCTACCAGGGGCGTACTTAGACATTTTATTTTTTTTGGGGAGGGGGGGGGCTGAGGCACTGCGTAAATGAGCAGTTAAGAGGACGCCACTCGGGCCATTTATAAAGAGTAAAATATAGGCGATTTTTCAAAAAATCTTAATTTAGCGTTTAAACTATAATGTATAGGTACTTATCAATACAGTAATGAGGACATTTTATTGTTTACCCAATTTTTTTTGCCAGACTATCACAGTCATTTCTATAAGATAGATTACAAATTTATCCCATCACAAACTGCTTTGTGCGAAACAAGTATGTGAGGACAGTAGATTTATCAAAACGACAATATTGAACTTCTACAATTTCCGAACTCTACAATGATAGTGGATACTCTTCCTTCCACCAAGGAAATAAAACGTCAAATTGACACTTGAATCCTTGCCTCTTTTACATCTTCGCCGCCTAAGCATCCTCCTCAAACGAGAACACTTGTGACAGTAAAAACTTGTACCATACTCATAAAAAAATGTTAAGAAACTACTAAATTTAATTTAATTCTAAGATAAAATACTTGTAAAAGAAACATTGATATGTTGTAACATTTGAAATGAAATTAAAAAAAAAAAAAAAAGTATTCCTCTGGAGTTCCCGATGAGAGTCTTCCTAATCAATAAGGTATCTTTTATTTCTATCGATTTAACACAGTTATCAGTGCCTATAATTTTATAAGAACAACGTGACTGTATCAAGACACGTTGCAAATATGCAACGTAATTTTTTTAACTGGTCAACGACGGTAATAATACAATAATAAAAAACAAACATGTTGCAAATCTGAAACACTCGGCATCGGAGGGCTATAAAATCGTTGAATTCGTTGAGTATAAATATTATAATTTGTGTTGTATACGTGTATACAAGCGTGGGCGAGTAGGTTGGCTGTGCACGGCTGTTGCGAATTATTATGGACCATGACTCGTATTTATTATATACTTGACTAGTCTAGTACTTGTTATTATTATTATTATAACGTGACAGAAGTCGGCCAATTTCGTATTCTTATTTCTCAACGCGGCATTTTTGCCCACCGAAAGCCGTTTCATGTGGCTGCTTATACTTGCGGCTTATGTAAATCGAATGCTTACAACCGTTGAATCGTCTCGAGCACCGGTCGTCCGTCTAGCGGATAGCATAATAGTTGTTAATAAAAAGAAACCTAGTTCAACGGGAAACTAAGAGTGCTACACCCACACGGCGTAGAACTCACGATTTCATGCTGAAAACGTGATATGAAAAGCCTAGCGAAAAAAATAAAAATAATAGAGGCATTGGCAAAAATAAAAACAAGGAAGCTTTAATAAACACGACTACTTAATACAAATGTGAGAGAAACGATGCGTGGTGTACCTACACCGAGACTTTAGGTTGTATCAATAGTGTATTATTTGTATTATGAAAAATAAGAGAGATTACTCCTGTTTTTTTTGCATTCATTAGTGGGACTTTTTGGCCGTACAGTTTTTTCTTTGTACAAACAATATAGTGAACTAATGAACACAGCAGGTATAGCTGAGACAAAATACAGTATTGTAGTTACTTGCATGCTGCACCTAGGCTTATAAGTTAAATTAAAATAGCGTAAGATGTTATATCGACCATCCAAGATCAAGACTGCAACAATTAAAAAAAAAAAAACCCATTTTTATTGCGTTTTTGAATTGAAATAGTTTTGAAAAAAGGAAAATTATGATTTGTAAATAACTCATTTTTCAATTGTTTTGTGTTGCAGTCTTCAACTGGATAGTCGATGTGTTATTATTATTTACCATAATTTGTTATAAAAGTGTCAAAAGTTGTTTTAGGACTACAGCGCTTATACGACAATGATAGCACATAATTGTAAAGTGATAATGTGATACCATACATCATATTAATTTTGATTGGCTCATAATAATTAATCGAAGCAATAGTACTCAGCTTCATTTTTCACAGTTTTGTAAACTAATGTTCTAAGCATACTTCAGCTAATTTCCCGTCATATATCCATGCTTCATTAATAGGTAAACCTTCCTTATTAATAAATCTTTCATTATCGGTTAATCCTCTCATATATCGATGGTTTCTCCATTATTAGCTTCAACCTAAGTTTAGAATAGTCATTGCACAGAAAATTAAATCAAGTCTCAGCAATTATACTCACTTAATATATGAAATTTTAATATACAGAATACATATTTTGGCATTTTGAACGATTGTTGTAAAAGTTGATATGCGACTACCCTTAAGTTTCGAAAATCATGGCATTTTTAATAACCATCATCTTATCACTATTATTTTTATCTGCAAGTGTCTACCAATCACCATCGACATCTGTATCTTATCTCTTATCAATTTGCCGTTCTTATCGTAGCGTACTATAGATGAGCCATTCCGTCAAAATATTGACACAAAGAATGACATCTTTTTGCTGCGCAGCCACTTTATATAAAACCCATTATTAAAAAGGTAATTGGTAAATGGTGGCACTACTTATGTGTACGTGAACAGCATTTTCTCGCTCTAAGTCTTTTATTTTTCCACGACGACCATTTTGATATCATATTGTAACGCCAATGTTGGGATCGAGCGTGGATTCAGAGAGTGGCTAGAGGCAGTTCAGACACTCCAAAACTCTTTAGGTAAAACAAATATCTTTTGGGACTATGCCAATTGGGTTCTGATATTTTCGAAGAGCCTGGAGAAGTGGCACGTTTGAATAAGCAATGAATAACACTGATTGTTTCCAAAACGTCAAAAAGCTTATGATTTCAACAAACAGTCGTTACGATTATCACTGTTGCTGCAACAGCGAGTCTGGGCCATAGCTACCGCGGTTCTGTTTAATAGGCGGTTACCAATTCTTATGTACACGCATTATGATTGTGCGTGTGTATAATTGGCATCGGTATGCGAAATCGTAAATTGTTTATGGGAGTCGGATATCGATTACGCCTGTCTGTATGCACATTAACTATAGTATTGCGTCCGACAATAATTGTTATCGTACATATCTGGTACATGCAGAGTTGGGCGAGCGCGTTGCACGCTTGCCATTTATTTTGTCTATTTATAATTATTATAGTCGACGTCCGTTTCGAAATCGTTGTTGTTTTGACCAGGTCAATTTTTAAAAATTTTATTTAAAGCGCATTTCCGCGTTGAACCGCGCGCCAACCCGACCGTGGAAACGCGTTTTGCCAAACAAATTGTGATAGACAAATCGTTAGTTTTTTCCTCAAAGGAAAGACGTTGGACCATGG